TTGTCTAGTTTGCATGAGGCCCAGGTTTCCAGCCCCAGCACCACACACACACACACACACACACACAACACACACATGCACGCACACATGCATGCATGCATAAAGGCAGGTTTGTGTCCAAAACCTTAAAGGCTTTGCCGTCCTTCCCCAGTGTGTCATCCTCCCCCACGCTAATTCCTGGTGAACTAACTGAACAACCTGTACCCTTTGTTTGAGAGGAGATCTCTCTGTGTTGCCCAGTAGGCTGGGGTCAAGCAATCCTCCTGCTTCAACCTTTTGGAGAGCTGGGATTACCAACACACACCACCATGCCTGGCTCTCAGCCTACTCTCCAGCCACCACGCATGTGAATGTGTGCACTCAAGCCCACACCTCAGCCTCGAAAGTCCCTTCACGTACACGTCACTCCAGGGAACTCTACCGCGTCCTTCAGGGTCCTTCCAATGCATGTGCCTGCCCTGCCCATACTGGGCACCCTCTTTGCTGGCTCTGCTCCCAGCACTGATTCCTGAATCTCAGAGGTGTCCAGGTATCAGATCTCATCTTTGTGACCTCTGAGGACCACGGTGGGAGTCATTGCCCCATCCTCTCCTGCAGGGCACTACACAGGCAGGAGGTGTTCAGCTATTGCTGGGCAGAGACGAGACTACATTGGAAGAGTTCAGCCTCCGTTTTATGGAGAATTAACTTTTGGGAGTTTCTTATGGATGAAGAGTTACTGTACTGCCCAGGCAGTGTAATGATGCAAAGATTCCCCTCCCCTGCGGTCCTCCATCCTCTCTGCACTGGTTGGGGGGTACATCTGTACCTACCAGATATGGGGAGGGGGTGAAGCATCATCATAAACCCTACTGGAGACCCCAAGAGCGCCCCAAAGCGGCCTGACTCAGCAGCACCCTCCAACAGGATCAGTGGGTTGGTGACGTGGACAGTTAGACTTGTGAACCCCATACCCACATGGATCCCATGTGGGGAGAGCGATAAGTCTATTTTTAAGCCCCATCTCTGGAGACGAGGAGTCACAGAGCTGAGACCAGCAGTAAGCAGGGACTTAGAGTAATGACTCTCCTGGACTCTGGTTTCGCCCCTGTAGATGACATAGCTCTGGGACCCGCAGAAGCCAGGCTCCTGTGAGCCCTGCAGGCTGTGCCTGAGACCCCACCGCACGGTGCGAGCCTCCGTGGCCAGTTCTGGCTCCCTGTCTAGAACACACTGGAGACTGAAGAGCTTTGTCTCTGACTGAACTTGAAACTGAACTGTGGCGGGGTTTTGGAGCCTAAAGTACCCTGCTGTGCAACTGCTTTCCCTGCATCATCCACCCCCAGACCCCTCCCCTTGGCAGAAATCTTTTTCTCTATTTCCAATTTCTTCCAACAGGAAGGATAATCCAAGGGGGGCAGCTTCGATCTCTTTGGTGTCTGCAGGAAGCTCTAGAAGTGCCAAACTACCATGCTGCCCCTCTCCCCGCTGGGAGACCGCAGTAAACCCCAGGGAGCCTCCTCCCTCTCCTCCTGGCTCTCATGGCTCTTACCACAACTCTTGTCTGAGCACTGAGCCTGTTTCTGTATAGGACGCGGGTTCAAATTTCCTCTGTTAGTTGCTGGCCCTGTGTTAGCACCTCCAGCCTCTGTCTGCAGGACACCACTGTCGGAGCTCTGATGAGACAAGCAGAGCAGGAATCAGAATCCTTAGGGGAGCTGCTGCTCTGTAGGGAGCCCCTTTCCAGAAGGGTTTGATCCCCAGTCCTGTCTGGGAGGCAGGGACCCCACTTTGCTGGCCCAAGGGGGGTCCTGGTCTCTGGAGGAGCAGCACAAGACCAGGGATGCCACTGTCCTCTTGGTGCGAGGGTGAAAAAATGTGTCCTGTATGGGCTGGGGAATCAGAGTGGCTGTGAAACCCCAGGGGGCCTCAGTTTCCTTGTCTGTGTGACATTGCACCAGGGCAGACTGGATGTGTGGGCGCACAGACATCTGGGAATCACTGGCCAGTCTACCTGGAAGCAGAGGCTCATGACTAAGATCTAGGTCTCAGTACAATGATGGTATCCATGAGCCCTGGGTCCTGGGCACTGGGTCCTCAGAGGCCCCTCCAGTGCCAGCACTGAGCAGCCGTGATCAGCAGTTGTGTCTCTAACCCAGAGCCCAGCATCCAGTGCCGGCTTGCTAGGGCTGGTCAGGGTTTGGAGAGGCCTAGGAAGGGGAGGAAGAGAAGCTTCCAGCCCCTGCCAGCTCTAGTGCTCCTCTGCCCCTGGGGTACCGGGCAGCAGAAGAGCCCTCAGCCCTGCTTCCTCAACATACCAGTGGGACCGTGGTGACCAGGAGACAGCCATGTCCACAAAAAGCTACTACTGAAGTGCCCCCCGAGTCCTATCCACTAGCCCTGGATGGGAGGAGAGGAAGAGGGGAGAGAGATGCGCAGACAGCGGAGGGGGCTGCCAGTCCCCAGCTCCCAGGATCTGCTTGAATAGCAGTCGGGCCCGACTTCTCCCAGAGGGACCAGACTGGCATTTCCATCTTTCTGTGTAGCCCTGGAGCCTGTAACAGTCCGGATCTCCCCTCCGTAAGGCCCTAAACTCCCCTTTCTCTGTGTCTGCTTGCTACAAAGAAATCTCTAGCCTCCCGAATGTATAAATGCTTTACTGAGACAAGAGAAAAACCAACATAAACCTCCCTGGCTGGTAGGTAGGAAGCCCCCTCCCTCCCGTGGCAGCCTGTGGCCGCTAAAATCCTGCCTGTCCCCTGCCTTCAGCTGGCCAGGGCTAAGCTGCAGATGTAGGAGAAAGCCCCGGAGGGGCTGTAAGCACTGAGGCTTTCTGCCTGCAAAACCCCAGCTCCCTTTGGGAACATGCGTGTCATCTTTGCTTAAAGACAAGAAAAAGACTCAAGAGAAAAAGCGTGGGGCCCGCAGCAAGCATGGGATGGATCTGGGGTTCAGGATGGACCTGGGGTCCCACGGCAGTGCCCATTGCCTAGGGAGCATCTTACAATCAGTGCCCAAGACATTTCCACTGTGACTCCTTTGGGGAAGATGTCTGTGCCTCCACCCCCCTCCCTTTCCAGAACTGGGGAGGTCAGAGGGGCCTGGGTCACTCCTCGCCCCTGGAGTCCCCTTTGTGGTCCTTATGCTCCACAGCTCTCATTGTGACTCGGGCAGGAGCAGGAAGCCTCCTGCACAGCAGCTCAGCCCCGAGACCCTCCAGCCTTGCTTGCCTTCTGACAGAGAACCCAGGCCTTTCTCAGCCTGCCTGCCGGCTGGGAGGCTGGGATACTTTTGGAAACCGAGATCAGAGGCCTTGGAAGGAGGAAAGAATGGAAAGAGGGCTGAGGAGACCTTGGTGAGTTTGCACAGTGCAGTGGATGGCGGGACCTCTGGCAGGAGAGACCTGCTAGCCTGACTGTGTGCTGATCTGTATGGGAACAGAGAAGAGCCTAGAAACTGGGGGGCATGCGGTGGGCACCCCTCTGCTCCCTCCAGTCTGCCGCCCCCCATCGGAGTCTACTGTAGAGAACATCTGTGAGGAGACAGGTTCCACAAGACTGGGCACCCCAACCACACGTACATCTGCCAGCGAGCACCAGCAGCAGGGGCTCCTACTCTCCAAGCCTGTCCTTAAACCTGCCAGGGCGTGGCCAGATGGCCTCGAGGCCAAAGCACCTACCCCCAAGAGTCTGAGGCAAAACCCTGTCTCCCAGCATGGGGGGAGGGGCTATGGCTGAAGGGGGAACAGCGGCTTCCGGGTACCTGGGATCTATATGCAAATTAAGCACTGAAGAATGACCCATCCCCAAGTCCCAACTTCCTGGGTTCCAGGAGGTCCACCCCCTTTAATCGCCCCTCCCTCCCCTACTGTGTCTTCCCAGCATCAGGTTGGGAGAGGGGTGCTTCCAGGCCAAGCCTCCTCCCCCACCAGGGCTCTAACCTGGGGCTGGGGCTTCTGGGAGAAAGGACAATGGGCGCCACCCCCCAGGAGCTCTGCATGGGGGAGGGAATCTGATAGGATCAGCATCTCCCACCCCACTGGCGACCCCTGGCCCTGGGCCTTCCAGTGTGGCTGGAATACAGCTTTATGCCTCTGTGTGTGTGTGTGTGTGTGTGTATACACACGTGTGCATGAGCGTACTCCAGGTTGTCAACATGTGTCACTGTGGACAAAGATGGATCCTGTTGTGCCTGTGTCGAGCGAACTTGTGTGCCAGGTGACTGCAGATGTGTGCTTTTGTAAGCGCTTCCCCAAAGATGTGTGATGCGTCATTTTGGAGACTGGGTGGGGTGCCTGTGACAATCAGGTGTGCGTCGGCCCATGCGTGTGAGTCCGAGTGTACATCTGGGCATTACAAAGGCCCTGCCCGTGGCACAGGCACGAGCACGCGGTGTCGTGTGTGGAGCAGGGGTGCACGTGCTCTGACGTGTGGCGGTGCTGCCTGCGCAGCTGTGCCCCGCGTCCGGGTGGTGGCTCCTTTGGGTCTGGGGTGCGTGGCTCCAAGGGGGCTGCACTTTCTGCCTCTCCATGGCGGAGGAGATCGGGGGAACGCGGCTCTTGCTGGTGGTTTTTCTGAGTGCGTGTGTGGTGATGTGCGTGGTCCACATCTTCGTGGTGTGCATTTGTCTTCTCCTCGGCATCTGATCCCTGGCACGCGTGCTCGGGACCTCGCGGATAAGTGTGTTCCTGCGTGTGTCTCTGTGCCGCGAGTGTGTGCTGCGCTTTCCCGGGGGTCTGCGGCCCGGGCGGGGCTGGGTTCCGGCGACCCGAGCCCTGCGGGCCTGGGTGGGGACCGTGTGCCAATCGCGCGCCCGGGTACCTGCGCCCGTCTAGCCACGAGCGCCCGGTGCGCGCGAGGCGAGCAGGCTTCCGGACGCGGCGGCGCGGGGGGCGGCCTGCGAGGGGCGGGGGGGTCACCGGGACTGGCCGGCGCCGGCCCCGTGCGCGCGAGGCGAGGCGGGGCGGGGCGGGGCGGGGGCCGGGGGAGGCGGTACGAAAGGGCGGCGCGCGCGGCGCGGCGGCAGCTCCTCGGCGCGGCAGCGGAGAGCGTGGTGCGGCCCGGAGCAGCCCTGGCTTTCCCCTCGCCGCGCGCCCGCGCCCCCTACAGCGTCCGCACCCAGAAGCCCAGTGCGGCGCCCGCAGCTGAACCTGTCCCCGCGCCGCTCCCCGGACCGCGACCCCGGCCGCCCCGCGATGACCGCGACCGCAGCCCTCCCGCACGTCCTGCTGCTCCTGCTGGCTTTCGGCCCCCGCATCTCTGGTGAGCCCCTCGGCGGCCCGGCTCGCGCCCCCTCTGGGGAAGCCTGCGACGCCCCGCGGCCGCCCGCACCCCGCACGCCCCGTCCCGTGCGCCCCAGCTCTGCCCGTCCCGCCTAACCCTAAGACCCGCCCGCGCGCCCAGCCCGGCCCTGGGGCTCTGGAGGGGGAGGGGAAGGGGCGGGGGGAGGGGGTCCAGGCCGTGGGGACCCCGGCCCTTTCCCGCGCTGCGCAAGTGGCGATTGCTCTAGGGGGTCGCTTGAAGAGGTATGGAAAAACGAGGCGATGCGTGGAGGTCTTATGTTAAAAGGATCTGGGGTGCAACTTTGGGGGTGCCCCCGCGTGCGCGTTCGGGAACAGGTTTGCGGGGGACATTAGGGGGTGACTTTGCCGTCGCAGCCCCAAATTCGCCACAGGAGCCCTGCCAGGGCCGCTTCTGCGTGGTGCGTGTCTCTAGGTGAGGGGCTGCGACACTCGTGTTGCAGCGGCCATCTGTCTCCGGCAGTTGCCCCCTTCCCGCAGCGCCCCCGCCCCCACTGCGCCATGGGCCTGGCGGGGGCTGTGTGGGAACCGGAGAGCAATGCATACAGTAGGTGCCAATTAAAGCGTCAGAATCCTTAGCATAGGTGGAATCTCAGCCTGCCCTGCAAGCCCCCTGCGTTTGCTTCCCAAAGTGAGGAGTGCACAGTAGGGGAAATGGTGGAAACGTGACCTACCTAGGTTCCTGGTTTGACAGAATTCACCTTGAAAGAAAGAAAGAAAAGAAAACAACAAACCCAGTCACCTTTTTTTAAAAACCTGGTCAGGTGAACCTGTCTGAGCTTTCCCAGGGCAGAAAACCTCAAATTCTGTAACCCCCGCTTGGAGCTCAGTTTGCCAAAGTGAAGATTTGGCTGAATGCCTGGGGTCACAAGTGCTCCTTCTACAGTGTCCCCCTCCCCACTTTTAGGGGGGATTTGAGGTTTCGTGTTTTTTTCAGGGAGCGGAGAGCTGTCTGTCTTGGTCGTGGACACGAGGCAGGGTTCTGTGGTGGTCCCATAGCTAGGAATGTGGCAGGGAATTTTTTACTGCGTAGTTGAGCTACATGCGTCACAGGAGAGATGCCTACTGGGCACCCGGATGTGGGGCCTAGGAGAGATAATGGCTTCCTGGGAGGGGGGGCAGGTGGTGGGCTTTGTCCCTGGTCCTGGGGCCTTGAGGGGTGAACTGAGTAACCTTTCTTGTGCCTCAGGAGCTGAATGCGACCCGCCCTGTGACCCTAAAAATGGATTTTGTGAGGATGATAGCGTGTGCAGGTAACTGCGTGGCTCTGGGGGCAGCTGGTGGGGCCATGCAGAGTCCTGGGGTGGGAGGAGTCAGGCTGGGAGGGAGGGGCCTTGGCCACTGCTCTGCGGCAGCTCCCTGGCAGATCACTGGTGGGGGAGTTGGGTGGGGGTGGAAGGGGGGGCCTCTGCGGGCCACTGCGGCAAAACGCAGTCTCCCTGAGCTCTCAGGGCCCCTCTGCGTCTGCCCCTCGGCCTGTTCTCTCTGAGTTTTTTCATGCAGGTGGCCTGGTATGTGCTCCTGGGACCCACTGGCCTGGCCATGAACAAGATATCTCCCAAGGCTCTCATAGTCACACAGAAAGCAGCCTGAGCCCCTGTCTACCCCAGAGCCCCTCAAAGGTCTCCATCTGCCCCTCCCTGCAGGTGTCAGCCTGGCTGGCAGGGACCCCAGTGTGAGCAGTGCGTGACCGCTCCGGGCTGTGCTAACGGCCACTGCGAAGAGGCCTGGGACTGCATCTGCGAGGACGGCTGGGATGGCAAACTCTGCGATTTAGGTGGGCACTGCCTCTGCCCACCCTCACCCTCGCCTGCCCTCCCTGCCTGGTGGCTGCTCCCCTCCCTCCTCCCTGCAGGGCCCCCTCCCTGCATACCAGCCCCCTCCCTGCAGGGCCCTCGTGAAAGTCTGAGTATACACTTCCCACTGGTGCCCTCAGAGGTGGGGACTTGGCTTTGCCCACCTGTGCTCTGCCAGCTCCCAGCAACATGGTGGCTGGAGGGACGGATGCCTGTGGACTAAAATGCACAAAATAAACACACACCACACACACAACACTGAGATGAACACACCACACTGAGCTGATGGGACACAGGCACCAGGCACCTGCATAGATCTGGCCAGCCACGGCGCAGGACTTGGGGTGTCTCAGGGTTTAGATGCCAAGAGTCACAGGCAAGACGGAGGAGGCTGCAGAGGGCCAGCAGAAAATGGGGGGCAAGGTGGGGTGCTGCCTCTGACCCCAGCACTGTGGTGCCCAGCCCTCAGCGAGGCAGGAGGTTGGGGGCAGCTAGAGGCTGAGGAGGGGCTGCCAAGTAGACTGATGTTATCGTGGATTTCATGGATTCACGCAGTCTTTGCTCTCCCTCACCCTGAGCCACGAAGAGCTGGCTGTCGCTGGCTGCTAAATGCTCATCGGAGCCCGTTCTCATTTGGCAAACGCTGCCCTAATGTCTGGACAAACCAGAGTCCTCAAAAAGTCTCCCAGCAGCAGGCAAAAGTGGTGTAGGTAGCTGCCCCAGGGCCTCACTCCCCTTTGCACAGACAGGGAAACTGAGGTTCAGAGAAGCCTGGGGCCAGGGCGCAGGGTTTGTCTGCAGGTGACTCTCTGGCACGCAGCTGTGCGGCCCCTTGCAGTAACAGCAGCACTGGGGGTGGCAGCAGCAGCCGCAGCAGCTTAGAGCTGATTTGGCATCAGGGTGAGGATGTTAGCCTGGAGCCCCTTTGGTATCTGAATGCAGAAAACCTCAGGCGCAGAACACCCTGAACACCCAGAGGGGTTTTCCAGACAAAAGCCTCTTCCCACAGGGCCCTTTGCACATCCCCTCCCCTCCAGCTTGACAAAGACTGGCTTTTGGGGGGGGGCAGTCTAGGGTTCCAGGAGGGACAGTTCTCCGGGTTATTGCCACCCTTTGTGGCAGAGACAGCCCCACCCCCCAGCTTTCTCCTTGCTGCAGTCTAATCCATCCCTGCCTCGGGTTGGAGGCCCAGCAGGCTGACAGCTCGCGGGGTTTGGTGTTTCGGGGAGAGGAGCAGGGCCAGGCTGGGGTGGTCATCAGCTCTTCAGCTCCAATTTAAGGTGCGAAGTGACGGGAGAGCTGGGCGCGGAGAATTAGGGTCCTGCTGCGGGGCTGTGTGTGCTAATGCTTCGCCAGTGCTGCCCTTACAGATAAATCCTCCTTATGTCTCCTCGCATCGGGAGCCCGTGAGGGTCCATCCGCACAGCATCCAGACACTTGCTGCTTGATGGATGGCAGTCTCCCCTCCCCAAGGGCATGGGTCTCTTGGAAAGGGGGAAAATCCACCTCCTGCCCCCCTACCAGTCTCCCTTGACTTCCCATGTGCCTGGCCAGGCCTGGTTTTTTTTTATCTATTTAGCAGGTGCAGCAGCTCAAATTACAGAAAAGGGAGAGGGATCCTTTTCTGTTAGGACGAGGGAAACTGAGGCACAGAGCAGGGGAGTCACTGAACTCCGCTGCCGCATGGTAGCAGGTTAGAGCAGACAGGATGAGCAAGGGTTGTTGTGTGGCGCTGCCAGGGAGCTGGGGTCTCCCCCGTCAGAGAGCCCCTGGCCTGGCCCCCTCTGCTGCTCATCCCCGGCTTGCTGAGCCCGAATAATGAACCAAGCTGACGGGAGGTGTTAAAAGGCGGTGGAGATAAACCAGTGTTCACGGAACCCGTGGACAGGCAGCTCAATAGCTCATTCTGCTGGCTTCAGGAGGTGCTGCTGGGGCCCCAGGCCCCTTAGCTCAGCCTCAGAGCTGAAAGGCTTCGGGGTGGTGGAGTGAGGCATTGCTGGGGTGAAGTCAGCTCTCACAGTTCCCCCCGCGGGTCTTGCAAGTGCAAGGGGCAGACTGGACACTGGGGAACCCCTGGGGGGAAGGGCCTGGCGTCTGCAGTGAAGGTCACGGCCATGTGGCCTGGCTGCAGGTGCCAGAGAAAGGGCCTAGCTGTCCTGTGTTGGAGCCCTGTGGCCATGGCTTTCTGATGCTTGACCTTAGCCAGGCAGAACCCTCTGCTTCCTACATAGCTCAAGTACTTCGGGGTTTTCTTGGGTTGGGGGATCACTGTATCCTCTTCTTATGAGCCCCCCTTTGCAGTCCTCAGCAGGACCATTTTGCAGCTCGCTTGGGGTCCCTGGCACACAGAGGGGAAGCTAACTTCTGGGTTTCTCTGTCCTCCAGATGTCCGGGCTTGCATCTCAATCCCCTGCGACAACAACGGCACCTGCATGGACCTTGGGAACGGAAACTACGAGTGCGCCTGTGTCCCTGGGTTCTCGGGAAAGGACTGCCAGAAGAAGGACGGGCCCTGTGCCATCCATGGGTAAACCTGCTTTCCCACTGTGACTGTTTTGGGGGTCTTTTCACCCCCCAAATCCCCTTCCTTTCAGCCTGACCCTGTGGACCTGTCATCTGACAAAAGAAGCCAGCGCTGCAGGATGCCCCGGGGGGCTGCTGGAGCCAGGGCATTTATGGGTGAAGGTGTCATTTCCACATTTGTTCAGATGATCCCGTGGGTGACTGCCTCTTCCCCTGCTGTTCCCAAGTCCCCATGCGTGTGAGTGACAGTAGATTAGACTGCATGATTTCCTGAAGACAGCAGGATAAGACATCAGAGTCCAGCAGGGTGGGCTGTTTGTGAACTCTCCTCTCACCTTGCAGAGGGTGTTTGTTTGGGGGGCTGGGGGGGACTCTGCAGTTGGGTTGTCTGGGATGGCTGAGGAGGTAGGCCAGCCCCCAGCAGTGCTCAGTGGGGAGGGGCTCTGGCCAGTTCAGCCCTGGCTCAGCCTGGTCTTGTTGCCTGGAAGCTGGGGGCTGGAGGCAGAGTCTGAGTTAAGAATCTAGAAGAGAGAACCCATTCCTGGGCTGGGAGAAGATGGGGGTCCTTCCAAAGTAAGTTCGCCTTGGGGCTAGGGATATAGCTCAGTGGCACAGCGTCTTCCTGACAAGCGTGAGGTCCTGAGTTCGTTTCCTGGTACCAACACAAGCATGCACAAAAGAACAAAATAAGTTAATGGGGACCTGGTCCCCCAGAGTGGAGAGGAGAGCCCAGAGGTCCGCAGATCAGTGTTCAGAGGAGGGCAGCAGGGAGTGACAGCTGAGCCCCATTGCAGCTTACTAGCAATTGAGGTTGAGGGGGTCAGAGTGAGACTTTTAAAAATTGTGCTCGTGTCTCTATCAAACTTGAACCAGTCTGCTCAGGTAGAGCCCAAGTCCCCGGAATCCCTTCAGGGCCCAGCTTCTTGCCTCGGAGTAGCAGTCCTGGTGTCTTGCACTTGTCAGTGACCAAGGGCTTGCTCATTTGAAAGCTTTTAAACACTGTGTGTGCTCGGCTTGGTCCCAGCCAGCCAGGTCTGCACCCCGACAAAAGGGACTCCACGGACCGTGGCTGGCCATGGCACATGCTACCCCTATTTCTTTCACCCTGAGAGTCCCCAAAGGTGTAAGCCCCATAGTCCATGGGCCTGTACTGCCAGAAATAAAAATTACCACAAGGATGGGGTGGCGTGGGGGGCACGGGCAGGATGGCAGGGATGCAGGGAAGCTGGTCCTGGAGGGGTGAGTGGCCCCTGCTTTGCTTGGTTCTGCCTCAGTGGGCCAGGGATGGAGCTTAAGGGAGGGGCTTGCTGTAGATCTGGGCTGTGACTAATGATGCCTCTCCCAGCCTCAGTTCCCCTTTGTCCAGTGAGTGATCAGCAGTGCTTTGGTCGGAGACATGAAACGAGAGGTGGGAGAGGACGTGGGCTTCCTGGCCCGGGAGGTCAGGCCGGTTCCAGGTTGGCGTCATGACGGAGAGCCAGGTGTGTCTTGGGCGCCCGGCTGGCTGCGCTGTCCCTGCCCAGCCCCCGAGGGCTTGTCACCTGTCCTGTGTTTCAGTTCTCCCTGCCAGCACGGAGGCACCTGCGAGGACGATGAGGGCCAGGCCTTCCACGCCTCGTGCCTGTGCCCCCCTGGCTTCTCAGGCAACTTCTGCGAGATCATGACCAACAGCTGCATCCCCAACCCGTGCGAGAACGACGGTGTCTGCACCGACATCGGGGGCGACTTCCGCTGCCGCTGCCCGGCCGGCTTCATCGACAAGACCTGCAGCCGTCCGGTGGCCGCCTGCACCAGCAGCCCGTGCCTGAACGGGGGCACCTGCCTGCAGCACTCCCAGGTGAGCTACGAGTGTCTGTGCAAGCCCCCGTTTGCGGGCCCCACCTGCGCGAAGAAGCGGGTGGTGGGCGTGCCCAGCGGTTACAGCCTGCCCTACCGCGTGACCCCGGGGGTGCACGAGCTGCCGCTGCCCAAGCCCGAGCACCGAGTCCTGAAGGTGTCCATGAAGCGGCTCAACAAGAATACCCCTCTCCTCACCGAGGGCCAGGCCGTCTGCTTCACCATCCTGGGGGTACTCACCGGTCTAGTGGTGCTGGGCACCGTTGGCATCATCTTCCTCAACAAGTGCGAGACCTGGGTGTCCAACCTGCGCTACAACAGCATGCTGCGCAAGAAGAAGAACCTGCTGCTGCAGTACAACAGCGGTGAGGACCTGGCGGTGAACATCATCTTCCCGGAAAAGATCGACATGACCACCTTCCGCAAGGAGGCCGTGGTGGTGTCGGGCGAGGAGGAGATCTAGGCAGCGTTCCCACGGCCCCGCCCAGCTCGGGGCTCCGCAGAGCTCACCATGCGGTCTGTCTCATCTTTGTGGTGCAGTTTGCTATCTCTTGTGCCCAATCTGGTGAACGCTGTGCTTATGTAGATTGTGTTTGTGTTGCCCTGTGACCAACGCAACGCTAAACCGATCCTCCCTCCTCTCTATTAATGCATGATAACACATGATAAGAATAATAAGAATTTCATCTTTACCTGAGTAACAGAGATAAGTATGTTATTCTAAACTCTTTAAGATCCAAAAATATCAAAAAGACCAAAAACAAACAAGGTAACAAGCCAGGGCTCGGTGGCGACACCCTCGCCCCGGGGGTCTCGGACACAGGGTCCTCGTGAAACCATACGCGTGTTGTGCATGACCACTCACTGTGAAAAGCCAAATCTCTTTTGTTCGTTAGTTCTCACGTGTACATCCGACTCGCACTTACATCCACCTTTCACGCCGCATGCACCCTGTAGACCTTGCCAGTAGCTTTGAGGGTTCCTAGAGTGCAGTGGTTTGTGTTCAGGCAGAGACAGAGAGAGAGAGAGATCGAGCCCCGGGTTGGCAACTGGGGGGTTGGGACTTTGTCCCAGCCCTGCCACGAACTCGCTGTGTGATTCCTGGCGAGTCCCCACCCCAGTCTTGGGCCCACCTCTGTGCCCCTCTTGAAGGAGGGGTTTGAACACCCACCATCCAGGTCCTCTCTGATTCCAAAACTCAGAATTAGGAACAGAGCTATGAAACGTCTTGACCCTGAGCGCAGGACCTGCTGAGGCCTGAGTCCCATCCTGGGACCCCAAGGTTTTGGCCTATCCTGGACAGTCACTTGATATTGGATTGACTCTTAAGTGGAAAGCTTCCCGTGAGTCACAATGTGCCATTCACTGGAGCTGCCAAGAGGCAGCCACCTCCCACCCATGCCCTCCCCCAGGCCCGGCCCTCGCCCCTCGGGGGAACCCCCTGCCCTGTAGATTAGCAGTGTCTTTGAGACTTAAGTGCACCTTGACCGGAAGTGCCCCTGGCAGAATCTGAGAGGCAACACCACCCTCGCCCAGGTTTTCACGGTGGAAACAGTCGCTTGTGGGGCGTTTCCTCATTCTGTGGCCACAGTGGAACGAGCCCTGGTCTACATGGCCATGGGTTTCTGTTTGTGTTGCTAAGAATTCTCAGATCCGGAAGACCAAGCCAGCTTCTGAATTATGAATTTGCCTTTTTTTTTTTTTTTTTAAAAAGAGCTATCTTTTTTGCAAAAAAAAAAAAAAAAAAAGAAAAAAGAAAAAAAAAAAAAAAAGACAGACATGGGACAGAGCTCTGTGTAGCTTTCCAGCTCCTCTTAGGATTGGCCAGCTACACAGCCCTTGGGTACCAGTGAGTTATATTTTGCTGCTTAAATCTTTTGAAGAAGAGTCTAGATTCTTAGCTTTTCTAAGTCTGACTTGCCATGTTTACCTTGCTGCAAGCCATAGCCACATCTGTCATCCACTGTCATTCGCACATGGTCACTCCACCGTCATCACTGATCATGCGTCACCGTCATCACAACCATCAACCGTCATCCCCCAACCGACTCCCCAAGTCCTTTGTCCTCCCGACTCAAAGCCCCACCAGCTGTCCCAAGGCCTCCACCCAACCCCAAGCCCCTGGTTCTCGAATCCTGGTCTCGGCCCCTTGCCAAGCCCCTCCCACCCTCACCCCCTCCTCTCTGCCCAGCAGTGCAGCCCTGCCACCCCAGCCCCACCCCATCACCCAGGGGCCCCTTTTCCTTCCCCCACCCCAACTCCACTCCTACCCCCCCTTGGTGACCCTGTCCCTAACCGGAGTCACGAGCCACCGTCCCATCTCATTTTGAGTTGGTTCTAACATTTCAAAAACTTAAAAAGACAAAAAAAGAATTGTTGGCTGTGTCAGGCAGTCGTCTGGTACGCTGCCTGACCGCTCTCAGCGTGAGACCTTGGTTGAGACCGCTAACGATTCTGTTCCTCGGTTTCCCCCGATGCAAAATTTGATGCAAAATTTCACGGTTGGATGCTCCAGCCGAGTTCTCCACACCACGTTTTCTTTCACCATCGCCACATGGCAGGAGGATAGCCAGGTCACCCCGAGACGGGCGAGCCAGGCCCGGCTGTCCTCGACACCTGCTCACCCATTTCCCACCCCATCCTCCACCATCATGCGATCAGGGAGCATTTCCAAGCACCTGCTGCAGCGTGTTGGGAGCTGCGGGACGTGCAGGCCGAGGGGGACAGGCTGGGAGGGGAGGGGACATGCAGTGTCCCCGCGAGCCAAGCGCAGTGCAGGTACAATGCCGTGGGAGCGGAGAGTCCTGAGCAGAGTCTCCCTTTGAGTGCCACCACCTTTCCCACGTGACAAAAGATCTCCAGCCAGCGCAGATGAGGCCGCCCCACCCAAATTCCACAGCGCCCACCCCAGTTTAGGAGGAGCAGTGCTAGCGCCTCGCCAGGTCTCCACGTCACACAGACATGGCCCCTCCACACGCGATGGGTAACCATATCTGCTGAGAGTGTCGGGATCCGACTGCCCGGGCGGCCCAGGCCGGCTCGGTGTGGTGTGCAGTTTACGAGGGAGGAGCTAAAGAGGAGCCGAGACGCAGTCTCTATTGGGTCCCAAATTTTAAGACAGGAGGAAGAGGAGGAGACGGATTAGCAATTTATAACCAAATTATTTATGTTTAAAGAGATGTCTTTGGTGATCTTTGAGCTTTTCCCGCCTACTAAAAGTCCAGACAATGCAAAAAACCTTGTTTATTGAAAAATAAACAACAAGGGCTTATGAATGTGTATGCTTCTTGGATTTGCAGTGGCGTCGGCCAGCACCTGTCCCCCGTTCCCTGAAGGGGCTCAGCCTTCGATCCAGGAGCCCCTACTTTGGCCCTACCCAGCTTTCCCTGTGTGGCCCAAAGGCCCGGGGACCCCACCCCTTCTGGACTAAGCTTGGAGTATGGGGAACCCAGAGTTCCTGCCGGGAGGGTCCCTGTCATGGTTGGCTGTGGGTGACGTGGGTGGATCAGGGACAAGAGAGGCAGGGTGAGGTGGGGCATCCAGAGGAGACAGGCAGGCAATGGAGGACCCATGAAGGACAGCTCAAACCCAGTGCCAGCCTTCACCAGGCACCCAGGGGGGGCCCAGGTCTCCACGAAGAGCTTCTAGGGCTTCCTGCAGGGCCCTCAAGGTGAGGGTGAGACTTGTGCCTTTCACCTCCACACAGCAGGGTGTGTACGCCATTCCCACCCCTGACAGGCCTGCACTATGGGCGGTGGCCACAGCCTCTGCGCCTGGGCCAGGAGCCCACCCTCGAGACCAAGGTGCCTGCCTCCTGTCCCCGGGACTCCTCCTCTCAGACCCTGTGCCAGGCTCTCTCCCGCCCTGCCCTCTTCCCCCTCCTGTCTTCTCAGTAACTGGTGCTGTTCTGACACTTGTAAGCAGCCGGGTGCAGCTGCTCATACCTGTAATCCCAGCTGCCTTGGAAGGCCAAGGTGGGAGGGTCAAGGTTCAAGCCCAGCCTGGGGAATAGAGAGCTTCTGCCCCAAAATAAGAAATAAGAAATGGCTTGGGATGGAGCTCCGTGTGAAGGCCCAGCTTTAAGCCTCAGTGCCAAAAACAAAGCATAAAACATGGAAGAAAACAGTAAGACACGATTGACTACAAAGGTAGAAACGTCCTCATGAGGGGGGGTGTTCTCAGGAAATAGGGATCCCCAGCTCCTCCCAGCAGCTGATGGACAGCCCAGAGGCAGGCAGGACCATGTGAGCTTCAAGGTGCCAGGAGCAGCCTTGTGGGGGAAGCAACCTGGGCAGAGGGGACAGAGACGCTGACCTCCAAGGCAGGTGGGAGCCAGCACGTCCCCAGTGCTAATGCCTCGCAGAGGTAATGGAAGAAAGGTGCCTTTCTCGTTCCAAGCAGATAAACAAAAATCCTCAAGAAAAGGAACACATCAAAAGCATTGATTGTGGTTTTGTTTTTGTTGTCTTTTTGTTTCTTTTGTCTTTTGGAGACAGGGTCTTGCTCTGCAGTTCAGGCTGGTCTGTTACTCACTTTGTAGCCTGGACTGGTCTCAAATTCACAGTGATCCTCCTGTCTCAGCCCCCCCGAGTGCTGGGATTACAGGAGTGCACCACCAGGCCCAGCTCCAGTTTTTTATTTGAATTTGTGATCTAGTAGATAATTTCCTAGGGATAATTGAAGATGCACAGGTGCAGCCACAGACTGTGAGCACCAGGTGGGTCATGGGTAGGCAGACGAGTTGGGGCAGCCGTGGAGAATCCCCAGAGCTGGAGTCAGGATCTGAAGTGTCCCCAGCTTGGCTCTAAGAGCATTAGGGGTCCCTGTGTCTTCTTTCTCTTTTGCTGCCCGGGCAAGAGGTCAGAGGTTCTTCTATACCTCTGGGCCCTGCCATGGTGTCACCACCACAGGCCAAGCCAAGGCAGCTTGCTAACTCCAGACTGGAGCCTCCACACCAGGGTGCCCAAACATACCTTCTTGCTTTATAAGTTAATCACCCCAGGTCTTGTTACAATACTGAAGGTAGACTGCTGTATTCAATGAACTCCAAGAAATGATGAAGGCAGCCTGAGGCAGGTAGATGGAATGTTCTAGAAGGCCAGCCCAGAAGCCAGGAGGAGGAGAAAAGCCTGGGACAGGGAGTAGAGAGGAAGGTGTGCTTTGTGGGGTGGACCGTGTGGTTAGCAACTGGGCCAGGGCCTAACGCAGCACAGGGCAGCGGGAAGGAGGAGGCTGCTTCTACAGCTCACGGGCACCCAGGCCCAGGGCTCCTGCCACCCTGCGGGTGACTCACTGATGGCTCAGGCCTGGGGCTTTCTTCTGGGGCTTTCTGAAGAAAGAACTGCCTGGCCTCCACATCCCTGAAGCAAAATCCTCCCTGTCCTATTAATGAAACCTCCTTCTCTTGTTATATTCCTAAACCTGAGCCACAGCGGCCGCTGGGTGCAAGCTCATTCCTCTAGGCGTGCTCCTGCCCAGCCCCACGGAGAAGCACGCTTGCCCACGGCCACCGCTGCTGCCACCACGTAGTGACTGCAATAAAGATGCTAACACAAGAGGCTGCTGAGTTGCAACCCCAAAGCAGGTCAGAAAGGAAAACACAGGCTTCCAGCTCAAGAGATGCCAAGGGGAACATGACAAGGTACATTCCTAAGTTTAAAATATGTCTCTGCAAGCCGGAAGGGTGTGCAGCTCCCT